TTGTTTACGAACTGTGGATCCACTCCTTTGGGCACACAAGCACCAGATTGTTCTCCTTGCTTGTCATGTTCTAGTCATGAATGCTTGTCATGAATCTAGTGGTCGACTAGTTATCTTGTCCAAACAGAGCTCTTCCTACAGAATGGATGCTTCTTCCTTATGTGTTTTGTTGGATCTGCTTTTCATCTTGGGACACCACAGATTGAGGCTTTTGCCACATGTTGGAATGCTCGACTCCTGGCCTTCTGATCTCCAGTACCTCACCCCCTGACTTTAGGAGTAGAGGCTCTTAGCCAGGATTGAACAGGTCTTCATCTTTATGCGTCCCTTCAGATTCATTTGCTCTTCAAAGTTCTGGCACTGATTCTCTCCATGTCTCATCAAGTTCTTCTGGTGGCACAATATGGGCTGGTTCAGGCCTGGTTTCCACTCCTTCAGTATTTTCAGGAGTGTCCACCTCTTCCCCATCCTCCCTGGCCATTCCTCTTACGTCAGCCTTGGTTGGACATTTTTCTTCTGGCAGTCAGCGTTATTCGACTTCACGCCTGGCTTTTATGTGGTTCATCACATGACGTCAAGGATTGACTTCTTAGGTGGCATCCTTATTAACACATTCCATTCGACATTATTCTGTGAAATTTTTCAAAAGAGTAGTAGTCTCTCAGACATGGGTGTAACCCTTAATGTCCCACTGTACAACATGTCTCTCAATTTTTGACATGGTTGTTTGACAAAGGTTTGGCACATTTGGTTGTTGCTCTGTATAAGGCTGCCTTATCAGCCCCTTTTTGTTTTTCTATGCAAAGAACAGTTTTGAATTCCTGGTTTTGTCATTACTTATCAAATCATTTCTGGTTAGCTGTCCTTGTTGCCCTTTCCAGGTTCCTAACTGGGATATCACAGTGGTTCTCCATGCATTATCATGACCACCTTTTGAATCTTTGGGGTCATGTTCATTATATATCATCTTTCACTTAAAACATGTTTTCTCTTGTTATTGGCTAGTGGGGTC